CCATAGAAACATCTGTCAAATAGCGTGAAGTATAGATAGATATAGATTCTTCAACATTTATATTTTGAGTTTATATTCTTATTTATACCTTTAGAGTTCAATATTAATAAAAATTAGTGTATGATAACAACATTGCAAATAGTCATTAAATATAAATTATTTAGAACAATTTTCTTAAGCTACTATATGTATATAACATATGTATATTACATATATTATTGATTTTAGATTTTTGAATATACAAAATATTATTATAGAAATGCCGTTTGTATATTTTCTTGTAATTTTCCCATTGTTATTGATATAATATGTAAGTAATAATTGTTATTTGTGTTACAGTGCATTATCATTGATTGTATGTAACTCGTATTAATATTCATGGAGATCCCTTTCTCTTATTCCTTATAAGAAAAATTCGAAGACAACATTAAGTTAAAGTTTTAAATGTTTAATAAACAATGATCATTACTTTACTGATATTATGTGTTTTCATTATATTCGTATATTTCATTACTCACTTTGGGAGGTTCAGACGACTTATCAATAAAATTCCATGTAAGCCGGGTCTGCCATTTTTTGGCAATGCTTTAGAATCTTGTATATATTCACATGGTAAGTAAAATTTTGTAAACATTATTGTTTCAGTTTATTTATAAAAAATAAATAGCGAAATTATTACTAAAACATAAGTAGCAAATAAATTACAATTGCACTGTACAGAGCCTCGACCGACTACAATACTTCTGTAAAATGTAAATAATATATAAAAATTACTTTATTTAGAGTTAATTTTTATCTCGTTTATTTTTATCTTTATGCAATAGAATTGATAAATTTTACTTATTATTAGCATTATATTCAATGTGTTTAAATTTTGGAAAGTAAAAATTATAATTAGGATGCTGAGATTGTAGAAGTTTTGCAGTGAATTTTCTTGAACAATCATGAAAAGTATTTAAATAACTTAATTCCACTAAAAGCATGATTAATATATTACTAAATTTTGATTAAATGTAATCGATAATGCAAAGCAATTGCATTGCATGATCTCCATGTATGTAACTTATATTTCAATGGTAATGTATAATATATTTTTTAATCTTGCACTTTAGAAAAACTTTGGGAGCTTCAACGCGAAACCTGTAAGCTGTATTATCCAATTTACTCATTCTGGTGCGGTCCGATTGCTTTTATTAGCGTTCACCATCCAGATGATGTAGAGGTAACAAAAATTTAAGAAAAACCAGTCTTTCATCAATTTGCCTTATTAATTTGAGATGTAACACATTTTTATTAATGGCTATCAAAAGTTTTATAGTTATGCATAGTTCGTTTTTAGAACGTTTATTTATTTTTAATATTCACAAATGTGGAAGGTTTTTCTATTATTTTTATTCAAAAATAATTTTGTAAAATATTTGTTGCAATAAACAGTTGGTCTTACATTTCAATTTTTTTCATTCTATTATTTGATGAGAGCATTGTTATTCAAATTCAGTTTGTGTGTGGTTTTAGAAAGTACTAAGGAGTCCAACACAAAATCTTGGAAAAGGTTATCTATACAGTTTTCTTAAACCTTGGTTAGGAACTGGTCTGCTCACTAGCGAAGGTATATACTTAACATAATTTTCAATCTTAACGTGCAATATTCTATGTAGTTTTTATAAAAGACAGCATTTTTGTTTATTGGTATTTATACAATATACATAATCATAATACATAAAACTATGTCTACATATGCCTATACATATATACAGAGTGTTAATAAATCATTGCATTGGCGGTATACAGTCGGATAGCTCGCGAAAATCTAAGAAAAATGCCATTTGTTACAAGTCCGTTGGGCTCGCGCGCTGATTGACCCAAATTATTAATTTTCAATAATTAATTACTCGGAATGTAATGATCGGATCGACTTGTAACAAACGGCATTTTTCTTAGATTTTTGCGCGCTATCCGACGGTATATCGTCAATGCGATGATTTATTAACACCCTGTATACATATATGTAAACAATTATGAAAAAGTTTAATAATCATTGATTTGCAAATTAGCTACAATTATTACTGCATTTGAAAATATACATATACTGCAAAAAATAATATTTATAAATTAGGCTTTAGTAAAAATAACATTGCTGCAAACATTTGTGTTAAATAGATTGAGATAGTTTACAAGGCACATGATGCTATTAAGTACACTTAGAAATATAGAATTTTATTTGTGTTACAGGATTAAAATGGCGAAATAGGCGAAAGATATTAACACCTGCATTTCATTTTGCAATATTGAAAGAATTTGTTGACGTCTTTATAGAAGAAAGCAATCGCATGACACAATTTTTAAAAGATGTCAATAATTCAAATATCGATGATTTGACAAACTTTATCAGTCATCATACGTTGAACGCAATATGCGGTAAATATACATATACATTCATGACAGCAAATATAGCAAAGTTCTAGCATAAAAATCAATTGATTAAGTATTTGTTACATGAGAAGAATTACATAATAATAAATATATAATTACTTGTATAATAAAAACACAAACTCTGTTAATTTTAAAAAAGTTTTAAGTATTATATCGCCAGTGCTTAATTAACAGTAAGGTTGAATCATCCGACACAACTGGCTACAGGAAATCTTCCTTTATTCAAAACATGACGTTTCGGGTTTTGGCCCTTTTCAAGTGTATTACAATATATATGTATAGTCGGCGTATAGCATGTGGTCAAATGCTATTGGGCCCACTGGACAGAAAAAAGACAGTCTGGATATTACCTTGTTACTCATCAATCCAATCAGTGACGAGTGTAAATATAAATAAATTAAATAGGTAAAAAAAATAATAAATTGTTGTGTACAATAAGTTAAAAACGATTAAACGTATCACTAAATTAAAATGTTGTAGAGTGTGTTCGATTAAAACAATGTACGTGAATTATGATAAAATTAATTAAGTAATCGCATCAATCGCAGATTAAAACAGTTAAGACACCAGAACAATAATGAACAAAAACGTACTCCAATTGATCCTAGAATGTGCATCACCATCCCATATATTGGCAAACTGATTGTCACTGATTGGATTGATGAGTAACAAGGTAATATCCAGACTGTCTTTTTTCTGTCCAGTGGGCCCAATAGCATTTGACCACATGCTATACGCCGACTATACATATATTGTAATACACTTGAAAAGGGCCTAAACCCATGGTCGAAACGTCTGTTAATTTTATCCAATCTTGAAATTACAAAACTATCTATATTAAAAAAAGATTTCGAAACTTCTGAAAGGATGTTTGTATCAAAAATCTTAAAATCTTAAAATCTTAAACATTGAAAATTAAAATAATATCTTAAGATTATAAGCGTTTATGTAAATTTTACAAATATGTTTCCAGAAACAGCAATGGGAACTTTAATGCAAAATATGGGTGAATTCCAGCAACGGTATCGTCAAGCAATTCATGAAATGGGTAATATTGTGCCTTATAGGTAAATATAATGTACACTTTTCCTTTTCTCATTATTTTACTTAGAAATATTTACTTAGAAATATTTTTTTCATTATAATTGCTTTCATTGTTTGTGATGCGGTATGTAAGCAATTTTCTTTGTCAGTTTATCAACTTATTACATTTATTTTGCAATTATGTCTTTTATATTTTTTCGTATGTAAAATAATATTTCTAAGTAAAATCTGATCTTGTATTCAATACTTTTTACGAACAATTATTAAGGAAGAAAGAGAGAATAGAGACAGATATATATTAAAGACAATTTTAAAAAGATAATTTTATGTAAGTTTGTTTTATTTTTAATCTTTTATAATTTTCGTAGAAAAGCTATATGAAAGTTAAAGAAGAAAATTAAATAAATACTAAACATTAATGTTAGATAAGCTGTAAAAATTAATAAAATCATCAGGATAACTTTTAATCATTTAAAAAATGATAAATACAGATTTCATACTTGTTTATGCATTTTAAAAATTAAAAAATGATCGTAAACACTACGCAATTTATATTTGGATCAATATTTTAATTTTAAATATATTTAAAGTAATATAAAGTATTTCAACATTAACTATATAATTTTTTAAAGATTTTATCAAATAAGTTAGGAACACATGTATAACACATTATATTATATTATTAGATTTGAATTAAATATTAAAAAATAAAAATAAAGTTGTAATATTAAAAAAATGGTATAATTTGCAAAATTATATAAACATAGAGATTTAAAAAACTAATACTTCAATTGATTCATCTTTTATAATTATAATATGTTCAGGGTACTAAGACCGTGGTTTCATCCTGATATAATATTTGCTCTAACGCCAATGGGTAAAAAGCATGCTAAAAATTTAAAAATATTGCATAGATTTACTGAAAAAGTAAGTAAAAATTTTTTTATTTAGAATTGTGAAAATATATTTCTAGTCTAAAATAAAATTTATATAAATATAATATAATTTGTACATATGTAAAATGTTCGTAACATGTATTAGAACAGTGTAATAACATATATAGGAAAGAAATATATGTATATGTATGTTGTAGATTATTGCCGAAAGAAAACAATATCATGAAAATACTGGTGAACGTTACTTGAAGTTTTTACAAGATACGGATGAGAAAGAAACAGAGGAGAAGGACACAATAGAAAGTATGTATATATGTATATAAAATACTCAATCTTTATACTATCAAATTAATAATCTTAATATTAGTTCCTAATCTATTGTATTTATTTAAGTTAAGAAAAAACGACTAGCTATGTTGGATCTTTTGATAGCGGCAGCTCACAATAACGAAATTAATGATTCTGATATCAGAGAAGAAGTTGATACCTTCATGTTCGAAGTAAGTATTGGATTTTGTT